AAATCATTCTCTGAGCATTTTCTGTACATTTTCAACAGTGCTAGTATCACACAGAGGAACGACTGTGTTTCTCTCAGAATTAATCTCAAAGTAATAAGACTGAATGTTGGTGGAAACATCTCAATGAAAAAGAAAAACCTTGAATGCAACTTACTCTTTCATCTTTTCCTCATTGTTGCTGTCGGAAAGGTTTTGTGTGTAAAATATTTGAGTAGAAAAGGCTTGCTGTTGCTCTGTAGTGGAGTGTGTACTTGTACTACGTGTACTACTGTACTACGCAGACAAAGCACTGAAGCTGCCACTGCTCTGCGAACATGTTCCTGTTGCTATGTTTAGCCTAGCTTAACATAAAAACTGCCGGGTGCAGTGACTTCCCAGAGTCTTGTGAACGGGGATGCTGCACAAAAGTGCTGGGCAGATGGATAAACAGTTGCACCACCTGACTTGTGCTAGCACAACAAATTGTGTTGTGATGTTGTTTTTGTACACAGTGAACAAACAAGATACAGCTTGTTAATTTTGAAGCCTCAGAAATACTGGTAGATAGATTTGTTAAACTTTAACAGCCAGGCTCCACAGAAGGAAAACATGAAAATGTGTGAGTTATATTCCAGGGAATAATCTTTCTTTCTGAAAATTCTACAGTTTGCCAGAAAGAAGATGAGTTGCTTTTGCAAAGCCGTTAAAGTTGGTAATTGCATGAAAACCAAAAAAAAAAAACAGAAATGAAATGAATCCAACATGGAGACCCCTGTTTCCCCAAATCCACATCAGGTTTTTTAATCTTCTCTGTGGGCCTTTGTGATATTGGAGGTTAAATTCCTTTCCGTTTATTTTCTGATTGCAGAACCCACGTAAATGATTGTCACAAAGATAGACGCTTTTAATATTTAAAGGGTTAGAAGTTCACTTTTGACTTGCACCATCAGTACCATTCACAGTTACCCCTTTGGTGGCCTCACACGGCAATTATTCGGCTCTGCCCGTTGCTCATTCTCATGTTCTTGCCGGACAGAAGGGGACATCTGGGATGACATTCTGAAGCAGATGCAAAGAGTCCATTACGGTTGCCCCCCCCCAGCTCAACGGCCATATTTCCTCTGTCAGCGTAACCACGGCAATGAGATTCTAAGGGAGGTGACCAAGAGTTTGGCCTCGTCTCCAGCGCAATCTGCTTTCAGGACGGCGGGGTAGAAGCAATGGCGCAGGCATACGTGCTTACACAGAGCGCAGTGCCATATGGCCGCGGCACATAATGAGGGTCATTAATGTGTCAGGTGAAACGTGTGATTGACAGGTGGCGGGGTGAGCTGAGTGGCAGGTCCATCCACAATCGAAAAACGATAGAGACGGGCGATGTCAGGGCCACACAGGCAGATGAACACCGCTACAGTTTATATTAGGATGTGCTTGTGACAATGTCAAAGCTTTTACCTGGCATGACCGAGCCATCCGAATGAGACTCCTGATGAAATTGTTTGGATTTTCTTATGTAAAAGTTTAAGGAGCTTTCCTGTCCCCCCCATCATCCCTGCGCTGGAATATTATTGATGCCATTTTAGTCTTGTCTGTTCTGCTTGGTTTGAAGTACTGTCATGGCTCGATATGATTATATTATGCCTTTCCACAGGCAGAGGAGAGAGCACTTTCTGGAAGGCAGATACCTAGAAATGTAGCAGACTTTCACTCGCTCTATGCACCAAAACCGTTACAACTGAGTACAATCATGAAGATGAATGGCAAACTTAGCCTCCTTCTGAACCACGCTTTTACTAATTGGTGTTCTTTGACAGCAGCTCATACATTATAAAGGACTGGTCTTACATTAGTAAACAGGTGGAGCTACGCAGCATAAATGTATCGACTTTTAAATCAACCTTAAAGTAAAAGATTGAAGAGTGTAGAAGTAGCAATAATATAATTTTTTTTTTTACTTTTTATAAGAAACATTTTGCTTGTCCATTTTTGTTGCCATTTTTATAACATTGTTCATTTAACCTGCCAAGATGCACTGAAAGGTTTATGACTCCTTAACTTTTTAAGTTTATAAAAAGAGTTTTTTGCCACTCAGGCAACTGTTTCTCTTCAGACTTTACTCTAACAAGGACAAAATAGCAATAACAATGCATGAAGTGACTAAAATATCTTTGTCCTCGCATTCAGTCGGAAGGTAGAAAAAAAAGCTCCTGGAAAGAGCGAGATTGTGTGGCATTGGTGAGGTGGGGATGAACTTATCCTTTTGTTTGTAGAAAGTGAGTTTTTCAAGATTGTGGAGGAGTGTGTAAAAAAAAAAAAAAAAAAAAAAAGCTCAGTTGAGAATTGGTTGAACTTTAAGAAACAAAATAACATAGCCTCTCTATTGATATATCAAACTTTTGAGAAATCAAATATGTTTGTCAGTGTCAGCTAAAAGTTCAGGCATTTGTTGTGCGCACTGTAACTGGTCCTTGGTCAGGGCCTGAAAAACATTTTTATTACTCACAAAACATTTCCCTGGTTAAACCTTCAATATTAAAATTTCATTTCTACTATTGGACGCTTGTGTTTCCAGCTTTCAGCATACCAGGCAGTAATAACTTTTGCACAAACATTTAGCCTTGTTGTTTATTAGAACTGCAAATCAATGTCAGTGAGAGTGTTTGGCTGCTCTACCTGAACTTATTGGGCTGCATCTGTTCTGACAAGTGGCAGACTGATGTTTTTAAATGTTTACAGACGTAGATAAAATGATTGAGCTGTAATAAATCATATTACTTCAGGCTATATTTGGGAAAACAAATAGATGCTTCAGTGATTACGCGCAGCCCAAATTTATGTTTCGTCTTGTCAACTTACAAGAAAATGGGAAAGCTCATAAAAAATAAACAGCAGGGCAAAATCAATAACAGCAAATATTGGCCTGCATGTGGATTTGGATTATTGGGCCATTTCAACCTGGCAGCCACTTTTCTCAAGTTTTACAGTGTTTTTAAGTTTACTTTATGACAGGGGTATGCTTTAAAAGCACTTACCTCTTTCTTTAAAAATGTTGAAGGGTTTTCAGTTTGCCAATAATTTTCGAGCACTTTCCTTGGAGGTTTTCGGGGCAGGACGATGTCATTTGCTACTAATTATAAGGAAAATACAAGTACATTTCTACTTGAGTTGAGTTGCTTGTGTTGAGTTTGTAAGAGCTAAAAAAAGGGATGAAAAAAAAGAGCTTTGTTTAAGGTTCCCCTCTACTCGGAAATATGGTTTACTTTTGCAGAGTTTGACACTAGAAAACAGTTTTCACATTTGTGTGCTAAAGGGAGAAAGTTTGCCTGTGCTCGCCTTAAATCGGAGTTTAGACACGTACAGTATGAGCAGGTGACATAATTTGTGACATAACTAAATCATTTTTAAGCCAATCGTGGTCCAGCATGGAACTTACACAAGTGTGATGCGGAGACCTGCAGTGCTCATACAGAACTGACCTTAAAAATATATTTGCATATTCATAGAGTTACAGGGAGAAAGAATAGAAGAAGGCACATAAGCAGTAGTATTTTTATGTCTTGAAACATGTGTGGAGGGGATCTTATAGTATTAATTAATTCCTGTATTGTAAACTCCATATATGTTGAATTGTATTTGTCTAAATTTCACATCTTTGCATGTTCAGCAGACCTGCTATGCACTGACTGAAAGACTCTGTCCCTATTTTGTTTATAATTAGTTCCAAATTAAATAATTATTTCCAGGAAACTTGCTATGAAATGATTAGGAAGTTGCGGACTGTAAAGTAAAGCATCCCCGTCTTTTCTCCTGATGACTGCAGCAGACACATTTTGCAGACAAGTAGCTTAGCTTAGCATAAAGATTTGGCACAGAGGAAATCGCTAGCCTGGAGTCTTGTCGTCACCTTAAGGTTGCCAGGCAATCCCCAGTAAAACCACAACCTGACCCCAGAAGAGATATAACATGTTAATTAGTGAGCTTTCGAGGTGATGGCAGGTGTATTTTTATACCCTTTGGACAGAACCAGGTGAGATGTTTCCTCCGCAAAAAAAGCAAATAATTGTATTTCCCGAAATGTTTTAAATTCTCAAAATTATTATAATTAAATGCAGAAGAACATCAAGCCAATTCCGACTGCCATTAGAAGAAGAGGTATACTGAGCTGTTTTTGATTGCAGGGCCAAGTTAAGTTGTAAAGCCCAGGCCCCAGCATGTGGCTCCAAGGGCACATGATTGACATTTCCAAAGACCTCTGGAGCCACAGTCAGAGCCTAAAAGCTGCCGGATTTCCAGCCGGGTGAGCGGCCCCCTCGAATGCCCATCAATGCCGAGGCTGTGTGTGTTCCACCCACATTAGGCATCTCCCGCTGTCAGGGAGACATTAGCGAGGCAGGTTGTGCCCTGTCCTCTGCACTCAGACGCCTGCTTTTTTCCTGTTGACTGTTTACTGCGTCCTCTCCATGCACTTCCTGGGAAGAGGTGACGGATGTGGCCTTGTTGCCTTGAGGCGCCTACAGTAGGTCTTGACACAATTTTTTCAGTAATTGCTGACAGTTTTTTTCTGCTATGATGTTTAAAAGTAAAATAAAAAGAGAGTATTTTGCCACCTGGTGACAGCAAGTAAGGCAGTTGAATTGATTGAAAACAGTCACCCACACTCTGATTGGTTCCCACTGGTTACAATTCAGCAGCGACCGTCATTTAGTAGATTAAACATGGAGTAGAAATAGAGTTTAAGAAGCAGACCTCACCCCCGCAAAGTCAACCTGATGCCCAAAGTCTTTTTTGTTTTTCTCTCTTTGTCAGACAGCCTATGGGGAAATTAACTGATGAGTTCATGCTGGCAACCGGGTTGCTATAGAAACTTCACATATAAGACTCAGAGTTTGTCACCAGAGAGAAAACAGGAGAGAGAGCAAGACAAAGAGGTGGCTGTGTTGAATACTCACTGGAGAGGCATCAAAGGTGGAGTCATTTGCAACACAACATTAATGCCATGTTTTATTTCTTCTCCTCTATAGAGAATCCTTGCTGCAATATTCCATGAAATCATCACCTCCTGCTGCAAGGCCCGGCTGGGATACCTGAGAGGGAGGTTGTCTTTATGTTCCAGTCGAGTATGTCATGAATATTAAGGCAGACGCTGTAATTTTTTGTTATGAGATTATGAGAAAGATACAATAAATTATAATTATTACCCATCAGCAGAACAGTCCTTGCTGTCAGTGTGCTTTTGTATATTTCAGATAATCACTTTGGAAATAGCAGGTTTTTTTGGTGAACTGTCCAACTGTGAGCAGTGTCGGGGTACATGCTGTGTTGTATGAAATGCTGTGTACGTTTTGATCAGATGTTCTGTTACTGGCCCCTAGTGGTTCAAGTAAGAATTAAGAATGCGGTATCACAAGTGGGGATACACTGTATGTCACCTTTATGCTGTACAGTAGGAAAGATTATGTGACATGATTTCAAAATAGGTATATATGTATAGTCTTTAAAAATCCTACTACTCACTTTAATTTGAGTCCAAGTTGCAGCAGTTATTGTTAACCTGTCTGGCTAAGGGAATGTCACCTTTTATTCTCCTGGGAAATCTCTACATTAAGGTTTATGTGAGACAGATTAATGTAGTTTATATTGCTGATGATTTAGACAGACATATTGTATTTAATTCACAAAGCAAGAAATACTTCCCATAAGGACAAATTGTTCCTCTCCCTACTTCTTCTTTTTTTTACAGACAGCCGCATTCAAATCTTTCATTACTGTGACTGAAAACAAATGGATAACGATCACATCTAATGGAGTGAGGAAAAGAAATTGGATTCTTCTTTAACAGCCTTCCTTATAAGACATTACTTACATTCTTTATAAAATATATTTTCAGTTTAAGGCCAGTTGAGAAAAGATGTACCTGCAGAAGAAGGGAGATTAAAAGTGATTAAATGGTGAAATTAATTTATGGCCGCAACAGTTGCGAAGGCTCTGGCCATGATTTATGACTGTCGAAGCCCGTCCTAATTTCAGTCTGGGTGACACATGAGATGAGCGTCAGCTCTATAGTGAGGCTTCAGGCTCTGACAGGAGGGTTGCGGCGCCGTCTCTCACTCTTTCCTCCAACAACTCTTGATCCTCCTCTTTCTATATACCGCTCCACGGCCTTTTTTCTGTGACATTTAGAGGAGAGTAAGTGAACATTGTCATGCTGAGCTAGGCTTGCACATCTCTATCAAGTATCAGTGCCCCCTGGAGAAGCGTTTTTGGGAAAATAGATAAAAAACCCAGTTTATTTTGAACATCTTTCTGCCCATCCTGGGTATAAGTAAATGTGCGTAGGGAGCAAGTTCATGCACACAGAAACACACAGCGAGACGTTCAAAGCCAGATGCTGCCGATTTGGGACTCTCATGCAGCCGCACTCTCCCCTGCTCCTTCTTCACATTGTAAACAAAGTAAACAAACACACCAAACTCTCTCCACCTCTTTTTGTAGTCAGCGTTGGCAGTGTGGTGCCTCGCTCGGATCCAAGCTTTCTCAGAATAAACCTAACCCGGAGTTGACTGGAGTTGGAGTTGAGCGAGAGAGAGACAGAAAGTTGGAATGTCACCTTCTGCTCCTTGGCATCTCAACTGGGAGGGCCACGCAGAGTGCAATGGGACACAGTGGGGCCCCTCTGAACCTTAGCCTTGGGACAGATGGCAGGTTTGGACCCTTGGACTTGCTAATGAGCGGGTCGTGCCAAGCGGTGTAGGACACAGGGACATAGGTTATGTTGCTCCATCAAAGCCGTGATCTGCCATGTGAATGGGGGTGAGGCCACGCCCAGCTGCTTAGCTGGTGTTGAGATAAAGTACAGTAGTCAATGACGGGTTGTTGTCCGTGACAAAAAAGGACACTAAAACAATACAATATGGCCTAAAAATGCAAAGCACTGTGTATAGTCAGATGCACCGAACCTGTTTTCTCTGTCAGCCTCTTAATATCAGTGATGGGGTCCAACATGAACAGATCATTTTTAGCCAAAGTTAAAACAGTTTTGGTTGTATCACGTGACAGATTTTAGCATTTCTGTGTTTTTATCCTTTCCTTTATCGCTGGGTTGAAGTGGGCGGGGCCTGCCATTGTCAGTCAAATCTAACCAAACCACTCCCACACAATCCTTCTCACACAGATTATTAGCTGATTATTCGTTTTAGAGAAATGGTAACCAATTTTCCAGTGCTTTAAAGGACCCGTAGAAGAGGTCTGTCTTAAAACAATAGTCAGATTACATTAGAAGAGTTATGGGTGGTTATAATAATCCCTCCTGTCTATACTGGCAGTGAATTGATGCCTTTCTAACGTGAGTATACAGTAGGAGATTAGGGGCAAAATCCACAGTCTGCATTCTTGTGTTCAGCTGAGCTCATACAAGGCTTCAGCAGTTGGACTGAAAAACATCAAGTGTTCTTTTTTGTTCAACCCTGTGACCACCCTTCCACTGCACTGCAGCTCAACAAGGAAACAGTGTCCAAGGAAACACAGAAAGACAAAACGGATATTCATATTTTCATTGAGCAGTTTGGTTAAAATAGAGATAGTGACTTTGTTGTTGCTCAGTTTAATAATTATAAAACCAAAGAATGTGTTGTACTTTATATTTAATCAGTACTTAAAAATATAAGAACAGTAATAATAACCAAATAAACCTAAGAGGAGGAGAAAAAAGGCAACAAAGAGCCTAGATAATCCCACTGACACTCCATTTATATATTAACTCACTAACATTCTTTCACATGTGTGTGATACTTTGATGATTTATGGATAGATTTTGTGTAATTTTGCTTTAGATGGTGGAGCAGTAGAGAAAAGCAGCATTGTTTGAAGTTGTGTGTTAATGTTGAGGGTCTCCCTCCCATATGTCATTAGCACCAAGCTCTTCTTCTCACTTCTGTGTAAAGGCCTGGACACACCATTTAAAGCTGCGAAATTTCGTGGAATCAGAGGATCCCCTTGAGGAGGAGTAATTCATTTGCCCAAACGCTCCGAGCGGAGTTCAACTTTGGTGAACTTTAACACACAAACTTGTGTCGTTTACCAACAGCAAACTGTCTTCACAGTGCTGACATTTGAAGGGATGGAGAGTTAAAGAGGCCAAAATAGAGGAACCTTTTATTTAGCTTTATTTAACTTAATTAGCTTATTCCCTTTTTATTTAACCTCCTCTGTCAGGGTGAAAACAGTCCAACAAAAGAGCAATGGTTTGCAGGCAGATATGAGACAGGACTCAATGTTACAAATACATGTTTTGAAGAAAGTGTGTGAAATTATTGTTTGCTAACTGTTGGTTAGCTCATCGGCTTTATTTTTCCTCTTCAGTAACTTTTTTGTAAATGAAATAGTGTGCGGTGGTGAGCAAAATGCCAGAGGAAAGTAAACAGAAGTGTAGAGAGCAAACAGAGAGAAGCTCTGAGAGCTATTGTGACTGAACAGTTAGCTCGCCCGCTACAGCAGTGCACTGCAAGCCCTGCGAGTAATTACTATGTCACCACGCTTCTGGCACTTTTATTTCAAATCTGTGATGTTTTTCACAAGTAGGTGTGTTTTAAAGGTCCAGTTTGTTACATTTAGGAGGATCTATTGGCAAAAATGTAATATACTATTAATAGGTATGTTTTCATTAGTGTATAACCACCTGAATGTAGGGTATCATTGTGTTTTTTTCACCTCAGAATTATCTATTATTATCTGCAGATGCCGCAGGTCCACCATGTTGAACCGCCATGTTTCTGTAACCCAGAATGGCTAAACCAAACACTTGCTGTAGATAGCTAGACACCGGTAGATACTTGTACAGCAGTCCCTTTAGAAAGGGATCTCTTCATGGGGAGTATTGACATGAGGAATGATCACATCGACCAATAACCCTTCAGTGAACATTTTAGTATGTGAATTATATTAACATGGACTTGGATATCGTGGAAAAAAGTCAGCAGGCCAAGTTTGGGTAAATAGATTTCTAAATTATCTACAACTCTGCCAGGGGTAAGCAATTACTATTTCACAACATTTGAGACCCCTTCATATCTTATTTAGAAAGGATAGACTTATATATGATATTATGGAAGCACCTCAGGATATATAAGTAGCCCTCTGCAGTGTCCAAAACCTGCGAAGGTTTTTGTGCTCAGCATTTGTACATTAATATAAGATATGCTCAAGCTAAAATGTATCATTCTAATGCAATCCTTAAAACTTTTATTTAGATTTATTTATGTTTGTTTTGCGACTTGACTATTTTATTTGATGTATGAAGACTTTGTTCATGTGTCTTCTTCATGTTAATGCCTAATCTGGCTGCGCAGAGATTCATACATACACACTGGTGTGTGTGTGTGTATATGTGTTAAGTGTTAAGTTGTGAAAATCAATAAAGACACTGTCGGAGAAATCAGAACCTATCCTGTAAAGCATTGTAAGCTTCTCAAGGAACAGGAATAGCTTAGTTAGTTTTTTAATTCCTTAAAAAAGCTTTAAATTGTGCAATCCCTGAATGGAAAGTAAAACTACAGTCGGCTATATGTTAGAATATGGCAGAAAAAGTGTCAAATGCAGACATGTAAGCACTAGAACCCAGAACCTTACCTTCTACTGGTCTGGATACAGTCGATTTTGAGAATTGGCACCGTTTCTGTGTGTGAAAAACAGAAAAGTGTGCCTAACACCAAACGCCACAGGGAGTACCCCTGCCAGGAAACATTTTCACACCTTAGACATCTGCATTTTACACCTTAGTGACAGTCAGATGGAACTCCAAATTGGTCACTGCAGTAGATTCAAAATTTGATTGGCTCCAGATAGGCACAGGAACCCATGAGTTCACATCCAGTGAAGCATTATTAACTTTTACCTTTGTAATCTGCCTATATGTGACAGTTAATATGCATGTTTATCTCGCAAATAGATGTGCAAATGTGTAATTTGCAATTCTGATTAGAAGAAATCAAGATGAGCTATTTCAGGTCCAGCTAGAGCCAAAAAAGCTCTTTGTTTTCTTTCATTTGTGAAGCCTTTTATTTTCCCAGTGAAGCAAAATCATGATCTGCATTCATATCTATCCCAGTTATCGATCTGACCGTTGGGCTCAGATACAGAGCTGAGTTATCGAAGAAAACACTTCAGCTCCACTGTGAGGAATAGTGTGAAACAGCTAATATTGGTGGGA